TTGTGGAATTTCATAAATATACCACTGTAATTTCCTAACAATCAAGCCTGGTATTTTACATAGTATTTTATAAACATTTATAACTGTGTATGTATGTATATATACAATTATTCTTGCTTGTATATGTTTGAGAAGAAGAATGGGTTTTGGGAATTTAAAAAAAAAAGTTACCCTCTGTCCTGACTTTGGGAAGATTTTCCTAGTCCTGACAGAGTGAAAAACCAACTGTTTCAAAGGAAATTATTTGTAAGAGAGAATCAAAGTTCTCTTTTAGTGTGGCCATATGACTAAAGATATTGGGTACAAAACAAAAATAAATAAATAAAAATGAAAACCAAGATGCCAGCAATCACTCCTTGTACCCATATTTGTAGTATGCCTCCTTCATCACAAATCACTTTCTTATTTGGATGGAAATGTGGGCAGCAATAGTACTGAGGATGTTCTTTAAGACTGTTCCAAACAAGTTGATTCATGGGAGACCAATCCATGTCAGGCAGTATGAGCACTCAAAAGTACGGGCTGTTGCTGTTACCTACACAATCCCTTTCGGGGCCATTCTTGTGAAAATGGTGTGGTGGGAATTTGTTGGGGGTGGGAATGTAAGATACTGATGTTTTTCTGTCAGCTTAGCATCTACACATGAATTTACTGATATCTTAATTATCATCTGAGGCCCCATAGCCCCACCAGTCAACCAGTCACTCAGGCCAAGGCCTGGAGGGTTTTCCAGTCAGGGCTGAAATATGTACGTTGAAACTACGTCTCTTTTGTTCTATGCACCAACAAAGACTCAGAAGTCAGATTGGGGGTGACTACCTGCTCGGTCAGAGAAATTGAGAAGCAACCAGTTGACCCTGCTTTTTAGCCAGAAACCCAGCAAGATGTGTGTCCCCAAACCAGGAAGACTCACTGAACTCAAGTCCCTGCCCTTTCCTTCTTGTGTGTCTTCTCTGTCCGTGTTGCTGGCTTCTCTATGGCCAATTTTGGTCAGCTAGTCACTAACTCCTCCCCCTAATTCAAGGTAAACTTCATTTAACAGTCTCAGCGTGTCACAGTGCGATCAAAATTCCCAAAACAAGGTATTATGTTAAAGAACAATTAAATAGGTAAAACCTTCTGTCACTGATAGAATGTCCAGCTCACGATGAGCTCACAGGCAATGGAGAATTGATGTGTCAGCAGTCACAAAATGGTGAAACACTAAATAGTGAGATTTCTCCCAACATCTGTAGGAATCAGGGAAAATAAAACAGGGAGTAGTTAAAGAAAGCTTATCGGAGTAACAGACATTAACATTGGGCCTGTAGACTGGGTAAGGAGAGATTTGGCCAAATACAGAAAAAGTGTGGACAAAGCTCCTGGGGACAGAGCTGCAGGAGGGAAACAGGAGAAATAAGGCAGTGGTGGGTTTTAAAGTAAGTCCTATGATATTGGAGAAAGGGGGAATTCATTATCTCATTAAAAGTACCTGGCTAGCTCAAGAGGGCCTAGTGAGGAGGAAGAGACTGGGGGTGGGCGAGCAGGGAGGTGAGGGGGTGGGTGGGAGGGAGAACTGTAGTTGGAGTGTAAAATAGAATTTAAAAAGGTATCTGGCAAGAGGAGCATTGTACGATGAATTAAGTTTTGAAACAGCAGGGTGACATGCAGAGGGAGGGATCCCTTAGTTTGTGGCACACATGGCCATGAGGAGAGTTTGCACATGGACCCTGGCTGCAGACCCGGAAGCAGCCTGGTGTCTTTAGGGCTCGGCACACAATTGGCAATACCCGCAAAAGATAGAGAATACTTCAGGCTCTCGGTGAGCTGATGAGGCAAGGGTCACAACCTTCTCTTTAGTCTTTCATGTATTTTGAAATGGGTGAGATAAGGAAGTTTTGCTCTTCTAAATTAAAAAAAAAAAAAAAAAGTAAGCCTAAAGTAAAGCCTAATCTGTTTTCTTGCCTAAGAAAGTTGGAAAAGTATATAAATGTTGAAGCATGCTTCTCTTCCTGTTTGAGGTCAGCATTTAACTTAACTCACCCCCCTCTTTTGGATGTATGTATGTATGTACATACACACATATGTGGTAGAGATTGGGAGATAGGCAATGATCTGAACAATTGTAGCAGTTTAAGACCTTGTGTCAGAGATGAGTCAAGACTTACTGATTGGAAGGGGGTAGGGCTTCATAGAAACTGCTCTGTTACTATGAGAAGCATTGTTTAGAAATGCTATTCATTTGTCCGTGACTGTAATATAAAAACATACACATATATAGATGTTTGTGTATAAGTTGCATGTTTGTGTGCTATGTGTCTGATATGTGAGTAAATATATGCACACACAGAAGAGAATATAGAATATGTGCATTCCATATAATTTTCCTCAGGATGCTTCATTCCAAGGCAATTAAACATTCTGAGTAGCACTGGCTTCATGGGGAAACTTGGTTATAAGGCAGCACAACAGGCATGATCTCACCCTGAACATTGTATAATATCTTCCAGATCCAGATTGTCTCCAGATCGACCCAGACCACGTTTGAAATGCCAGATGTTTTATACTCTTCCTTTTGCCCCTCCCACCCTTTTCTCTTTCAAGTATCTGACATGTGATCCCTCTGCTCTGGATCAAGAGGGTCACCTGAAATCTTGCCAACATATCTGGTTTCTTGACATGATGATTATGGAGAAATTGATGCCATTTCTGTTTCTAACTCTAAAATAAACAGAGGGGAGCGGGCTCCCCAAGACTCAGGTCATGGAAATGTAAGCTGAGTTTTGGAGTCTACAGTTATGGCTACTTAAGAAGTCTTATTCGTGACTAGTATTTCAATATAACTACTATAGAGTTACTGTCATTCTTTTAGAGGACCTTGACAGGTAGTCTCAAAGCCCAGCTATGATTTCTCCAAATATAGTCAATCCAGAGGACCTGTTTTCTTGGACAATGAAGAAGAAAAATTAATCTGTCATATCCTTCTATTGACAATGGCCAGAATGTGTTGCTAAAATTATATTATGAAGTAGACAGCTTCAGAACTTGGGTGTTTATGAAACACATATGTTTTTTAAGCACCAGTTGTTGGTTCTGCAGGGAATGCCCTCACACATTGTTGGTGAAATAATGATGCGTGACAACTGCCCAGTGTCACTCATAACTGGAGATGCTTGTGTCCTATATGTACTTTACAGACTGAGGTCCAAATGACTGTGGCCTGCATGAGCTGATCATACACTGCCTTCCTCAAGAGATCATTTTATTTTTTAGCAATTTAGACTTGACAGGTTGACATAGCTAAGAGAAGATAAAGTTACCCAACATATGATTTACAACCATAATTTTAGAATTTAAAAAAAGTTGGAATCAGTATGACTCAATTCTCTCCTGGTCTAGACAAAACCCAGAGGAGAAAAATGATTTCAAAAATCCTTGAATGTAGCTGGTGACATGTGGGACCAGATCAGTTTTCTTGACTCTTCTTCAATGGTCTTTCTTTATTTTCACAGTTCTCTGCTTTGTTAGTCCTCTACCATTTACAATAATACAGTTTTCATATTAACTGGCGGAGCTCTTACATCACTGTTAAATATAATCACACAAATGTTAATGTTCCTGTGAGTCCAAGGATCTGGCTTTCATTGTCTAAGTGGCCAGTTTGTCTTAGCTGACAAGGAGCTGACGCCTAGGCCTCCCTTTCCTGTCTTCCACCCCATCCTACATAGCCCTGCATCCTGAGTATCTCTAGATAACACCTTCCTAAAAATTCCTCACCAAGAGTTCTCAAGAACAAAGAACTGAGCAGAAACCAGCCTGTAAGGCTTAGGTGTCCAAAAATAATGATCATCTCTTTTATGAGAAAGAGGGCTCTGACCACTTGGGGTGGTCAGTGCTGGGGACAAGGAGAAGGGGAGAAGTGTGGTGAGGATTCTGGATGTTAGAGTTCAGGGTATCCTGACTGTGGAGTAAAGGAGAGAGAGAGAAAAAAATAAAAGTATTTATGTTAAGAAAAAAATGTGTCAGTCCAAGTAGACAGTTCTTTTTATTACCCCTCAAATGTACACGATTGCACCATCATGGATATCTTTCCAGGCTGGTCATTGCAAAATCTAGATTTATGGTTGGAAAAGCCTGTTGATTGCTCCTCTCCCTTAGCAACCTTTGTAACACCTTTGGGAACTATGACAGCTAGTCCTCAGGGAGGAGGCTTCCAGGTAAGTTCTAGAATGTGTTGACATTTTGATCTTGAGCAAATTCTGAAAACTTTCCTTCTTTCAATAAAATCATCTTTAAAGAATGGTGGTGACCACACCTTTCAGGCCAGGACTCAAAGATAGAGGCAGGCAGATCTCTGTGAGGTTGAGGCCAGCCTGGTCTACAGAGCAAGTTCCAGGACAGCGAGGGTTACACAAAGAAACTCTGTCTTGAAAAACAAAACAAAACAAAATAAAACAAAACAAAAAGAACAAAAAGGAATGCAGTGATGCCTGCTTCGTGTTTTTGAAGGTTCTGCAAGATTTTAATTAAATAGTAAGGATAATAGAATGCTGTTGTTGGTATTCATTACTCCTGTGTAGCTGCTTTGATTATATTTTCATAATATAAAGCAATATTTTAATTGTAATTCCTAAACTCTTTCACACATTTGTTTGCTTTCCAGTCTCTGCCCATTGCCTTCTCCCTGTACTTGAGATATTCTGGGCAAACAATGGGAAAAGACATAAATTCATGAGTTTTGTGATTTTCAGTATTTGTAGTCTTCTGTAAAGTTGTACTTGCTTCTTTGTCTTCCATGCTAAAAGCAACGAGCATATAAAGTGTGCTATGTGTGGGCTTGCAGCTTCCATTTACATACCTGGTGCCTTCGTTGGCTAAACAGTGTGCAGCTCATAAAAGATTTGTTTGAGAGTTATATCAACAAGAGTGTCAAGGGGAATTAAAAGTGTGTTTTATTGAATTTTTAAATTTTTTTTGAATTCATAATAATAGATTCCCCTTCTCTTTCTCCCCCTTAACAGATGGGCTTAGGTCATGAACAAGGATTTGGAGCCCCCTGTCTAAAATGCAAAGAGAACTGTGAAGGGTTTGAACTACACTTCTGGAGGTGAGCTCTTGAAACGGTACTATCATTAGCGTTTTATCCTCTTGGGCGGTGCCCGGAGGACAGCGTGCTTGCAGTCTCTGACAAGTATTCAACCAGCTGCTAAGTAGCAGGGCTTCTGTTTCCTAAGAAGTTAATAAAAGTGAAACTGTTCTATGTTCATATCATGAAGTGTGACAGAGTGGGTTGGGCAATAACAACTGTACGTAGAGTCGCTTGGTTTATTTGCTTTCAGATTTCTTACTGCCCCCTCCCAATGCTGAATGTGCCCTTTCTGAGTGGCGGGGGGGGGGGTCTGTGGGACCCTGGGAGGACTGCTGACTAACTCCGAATGGCTTCTGTCACCCTTGCAGGGCACCCAGTGTGCATCCCTTGTGTTTCCGTGTCCTACTTGTCAGGAAATGACACTAAGATTAGTTGTGCAAAGGGTGGTGGTGGCACACACCTTTAATCCCAGTACTCAGGAGTCAGAGGCAGGCAGATCTAAGTGAGTTCCAGGACAGCCAGAGCTATTAGACACAGAAACCCTGTCTCAAAAAAAAAAAAAAAAAAAAAAAAAAAAAAAAAAAGTAAGTAAGCAAATAAATAAAATCTCCTCTCAGGGGCAAATTTGTAAAGGAGTAACTTTCAGGAACTTGAAACTGTTGAAAGAAGTAACTTGTTGCCAATTTTTGAATACTGTGCATGTATCTGAAGGACAGAAATAACACATCAAAACTGTTACTTTAGGGGATCTTATTTGTAGCCTATAAATCTAAAAATGGAAACCTGCTCTTTCAAAGAACATCAAAGTTCTTCCACACATGCCTGCTGGAAGTTAGAGTCTGCATAATATTGTCAAGAAAAGTAAAAATCAGTTATACGGTGGGTGGTGGTTGCCCCGTGGCCATTTATTTCCTTTTTAAATACTAAGGATTGAGCCTGGCATCTCATGCATGCAAGGCAAACATTCCTCCACTGAACTGTAGGCCCAGTCCATACTGAACTTCATTTAATGACTGCTTCCATGCTTCATACTACCATAGAACACTACAATTAACAAAAAAAAAAAAAAAAAAAAAAAAAAAAAAAAAAAAAAAAAGAAGAATGAATAAAGAAAAAACTCAGTATCCGTTATGGCTATTTGTATACAGTGTAAGCTGAAGAGACAACACATAATAAAATCTGGTGTATTGTCTCCTTTAAAAGCTTTCATATTTAATAAGCCATAGGTAATAGACAAAATTATCTTAAAAAGTGATGAAAACAGAAACTTCAATAATTCCAGAGATAATGGTTCAGATCTTTATTATGTTTAAGTTCAGACACCTTAGAATTTTCCATTGAGTTTGTAAATTCTAGAGTTCAATAGTGATCATGCCTGTAGATAAATACAAAGATAATATATTGAACAGAAAATGATTTCTCAGTGTTAGAGGCTATCTCCTGGTACTTCTGGAGAGCCGGACTCACACATGCTCTGGTCTCATAACAAAACTCTGGTGTTTGCTTGGGTTACACTTTTTCAGAGTTCTTACAGTTAGCTAATATGTGGTAAATTCTGTGACGAGTTGCTATGTTGTATTGTGTTTGGGGAAGAACAACAGGTGTTTGTTTGTTTTGCACTTCCTGCTTATTGAACCCGCTGATAATGAACCTGAAGACACCAGGCTGACCATTTATTTCACTTATTGACATAACTTTTCTTTGTGTCTACAGTTGACTTTGTAGAGGGACACATCGCCCCCTGCTGGACAGTGTTTTCAAATTTGAGATAATTCTTTCATTTAGACAGTTCCATAAACTGCTCATAAGATTTTTAAAGCTCATTCCTAAGAGATGTTTCCATTTCAGTAAATCAGGTTCATTTATAGTAACTTCTTGGTCTTTGTCATTTTCTCTCCTGCAGGCCACTATCATCTGATGTTTTCAAATTGTTAAAATATTGGCCAGGCAAGAACAGACCTTCATGGCACGAAAACCTGTTCTTTCTTTAGTTTTTATCGTACAGGCTGCTTTGATAAACTGGCCAGAGTCTTAGAGTCCAAGCATCATAAATATTCAAGGTTGGCTTCCCAACCCAGCTAGTGCTTGTATGATCCCCTCCAGACGATATTTCTCAGTAATGATGTTACCCTCCTGGGGGGGGTCCAGACATTTCTTCAGAGGATTCCTCATCATCCCCTGACTTCCGTAACTGGGAGACCAGAGCAGATGACATTGACCTCTGGTGCCGCTAGTTTTCAGTATTTTTTTAAATGTATTTTTGAAGCTTTATTTATCTATTTACGCATTTGTTTTAAGGATGTGGGTATTGTGCCTGCATGAGTGTCTCCATGCCCCGTGTGTGGCCGGTGCCCTCAGAAGTCAGAACAGAGTGTAAGATCCTCTGAAACAGACGTTCCAGAGAATTGTTAGCATCCAAGTGGAAACTGCGAACTGAACCTTTGCCCTCTGGAAGAGCAGCAACTACTATTAACCACTGAGCCGCCATCTCTCTAGCCCCCTTTTGGTATAGTCATAGTAACACATTCTAGACCAGTGGTCCTAAGTGTAAACGAAGATGCCATCTGCAGACCAGTCCCCAGCCACTTACTCACCTCCATCTTCACAGTCAGCCTTGACATTTAGGATTCAGAGTCTGTACCCCTTGACCAGTGCACACCCCTCCCTCCATAGCCATAGACTGATATGTTGAAAATGGTTTGATAGGCACTATTGTGGGCTTCTTAATTGCTCAACAACCCTCCATGCACACTGAATGTATTACTTTCATCACATTCTTTGGCCTTTGTTGTCAGACCTCAGCATCTGACCTCCACTTGTTAGTCCAGCCTTTCCCACTCTCCCTCTAAGCATCCTCTACCCCCTGCTCCTTGTTCCATGTTATTTCACCAGATTCTCTGAATTTCTTATCTCCTGTGCCCATGCTTGGAAAGATACTACCTCCGCACACTACAAACAGAACTTCTTAGGTCATGTGCTACTGCTGTTGCCGGCTGTATTAGTTAGCCCCAGCTGCTGTAACGAAAACAGCACAGATTTAGTGGAGTAAGTACAAATGTATTCATTTGGGAAAGCTGTGAAGTCTGTCAAGGGTCTGCTTTCTGAATTTGTAGACAGTCACTTTCTCACTATGTGCTCTCATGGCCTTAGCATGCGTGCACACAAACACACACATGAATTGGAGGGGAACATGTGATCCATGGCCCCTCCTTCCTGTGCATTCACACATTCCCGAGTTAGAGATCATTTCTCCTGTACACTGGGGAACATTCACACTTCACTCAGCTTCCCAGTAAGCCTCTAGCTAGTGCCTGCCTTGGCCTCATTGCTGAGGACAGAGAGCCCACCTTATACAGTCAGCAGAGTGTCGTGGATAGAACATGGGTCCAGAGAGGTGAATGGAAGTTGAGACTGTGTCATGAAAGTTATAGGGAACTAAAAACAAATCTGTGTGCTTATAGAAGTTTATAGGGCAGCTTCCCGCTCTGCTTGTCAAGTCTCATTTAAATAGCAAAACTTGAAAAAAATACTATAATGACTTGTTTGGGCCAATGAGTTTTTAATACACACATACATATATATATATATATGTGTGTGTATATATATATATATAGTGTGTATATATACATATATATATATAATTTATGAACTATTTCTGTATGCCACATGTGTGATAGTTTTCTGTGTAACTGCTTACTACAAACTGAGCAAGCAAAAACACGTGTGAGTTAACTGGGCCTCTTATGAGCTGGAGGGAAAAGGGACAGCATAGCTGATTCTGTTCTTGGCATCTCAGAAGGCCGATATCAAAGTGTTGATGGTGTTTTTTGTATTGATTTGGTTTATTACTCTTTTTAATCTAATTTCTAATTCCTGCTGTTTGTAGAATTCATTTTCGTTGTTGCTGGACAACTGAGGTCCCTGTTCCCTTGTTGCCTTTCGCGTGAGACTGCTGTCATCTTTGGAAGCCACCTGCATACCCCGACGTACAATCACGTCCATCTTAAAGTCAGCAGTACTTAGAAGCTTTCTGTGCCCTTAATCTCTCTCACTTCTGTTTCCATTCCTTTTTTAGGGCTTGAGTGATTAGAGTAGGTCTGCCTGGGAACCTCTCCCCACCCCCATTTACCAAATAAAAATTGTATTCAAGGGAATAATACCAGGAGTGCAAGTCTCAGGGAGGCCTTATTCTGCCTATCACGGCGTTTTATGCCCTGATTCTTCCTAATGTTCCTAAAAGCCATTGTTTTATGTGAGCAAGCCTGCTTGGGAGAGTAAATAAATGCCACATCGGTTTGACAGATTACAGAGGCAGAGCTGAACTTGAACCCAGAGCTTGGCAAAGTCCTCCTAACCATCTTTCTTTCATGCCGCATTAGAAACTGGAGCAAATGTTCACTTTCACAATCAGACAACTTTGAGCTGTACCGGGCCGTCTGCTCTGAAGTGTGATTTTGGTGGCACAGAAATCCTTGCGAACAATGATGTTCTTTAGCTGAGAGCTCTTCCTTCTTCTGTGTGCTAGAGATTCCTAAACTAGAAGAAAACTAGGGATTAAGAAGGTTGCCATCTCTCCAGCAAGAACCATTTATGGGACAGCCTTTCGGCAAAATGCAGATACAAGTATTTATGAAATGTCTGGCCCAATTCCATAATTTTACAACATTTATAGCCAATTGTTTTCATACTGAATATATAGTAAGATCATTACTATAATCACTCACACATCGTATAAGCAACAGAGTTATACTTTTGCCTTACTTGTGTTAAAAGTTATATTTTACAAGAGATGACATTACTTCTTCGCTGTGTACATGTCGCAGAATTTCTAATTGATTCCCCACCGTAAATGGAGTAACCTGTAACAGAGACCCACACTCCTGCCCATATATGTGTATCCCTGTTAGAGAGGGACAGCTCCCATCCCTTTAAATTATGGTTTGTGGCAGTGGCACAGCCTTGTCTTACGTCACCAGGACAGCTGGCAGTGTGCCAGAACGCTCCAGGTTCTACCACTTGCAATGGAAAAATAATAATTTCTATGAATCACGATACCATTTCTTTCTCAGGAGGGTGAACTGGAGTATCCAGAACCTGGGTTTATTCTGTATATCTGTGTGTGTGTGTGTGTGTATGTGTGTGTGTGTGTGGTATTAATTTTAAAAAATAACCTTTCATTTCAAACAACAGTCTTACACACACAGACCTTAGAATTTCAAAGTCTACTTCTCTCTCTCTCTCTTTTTTTAATGTAAAAGGCTTTTCACTTAGCTTATCTCTGAATCCCACCAGGTGTCTCCCCCTGTATCTCTGACTCTGTAGGCTAAATCGTAAGAATTATTATGAAACGATTTAAGGATAATTCTTAACTAGTGCAGCAAAGATCTCCACAATGTCAAGATCCTGGGTCCTGCCAAGGTTCTGTAGGTGGCTTCCTGGTGTGGCGGCTTGTCCCTTGTCACTGTAGGCATGGAGCTGCAGTTAGGAGAGCTGTCACTCCTGCTTCTGCAGTGACACGGTCCAGGAGAGAAAGTGTTCAACCTGCTCTTTCTCGGTCATGCTTTACCAAGTGCTCAGTCCCCAGACCATCCCTGCAAGAGTGGAAGGGTAGAAGAGCTCGGCAATAGACCCAATTGAAAAGTGTTCGTTAATTAGTAATGGGTTCTCTCTATTTAAGAAACTTGGGGGTTGGGATAATGCAACACTTCCTTACTTCTTTTTTTTTTTCCTTCTTTTCTTGTTCACCATAGCTGTCAGTATGTTGTTTAACCCAATACAATGTGCTTTAAACAGTGGGTAGTTAAAGGAGTGGGTAGGAAAAAAAGAGGCTTCATTAAAAAAATGAATCCTCCAAAGGATGACCAAGCCATGTGTTAAAACTACTATAGAGGTAGGCTTTGTGTCATTGGTCAATGAGCCTTTTTACTTCGTACTTTCATAGTAAATGTAACTGTACCTAGAGTGTGCCAAAACTCTTGTTTACAAAGCATCAAGAATCATTTCCCTTACCATGTCTTTTGTTGGTCACTAAAAGAAACCCCAAACTCTTTATTGTATGGTACACATGATTACCATTGCAAACCTCAATCACCAAATCCAAGGTCAGAGTCATCTTATGTCTGTTCCTATAAGCAGTCAGTTTGCTGATTGCTAGGATGCACACCAGAGTCCCCGGCCCAATAAAGGTCTGTTTACCTGCCTTGAGAACTAAATTCATCCCCTCCTTCATTCCCTCTCCAGAAATTATCATTGTAATCTTGACCCAGGCACCATGTAGATAATTAATTCCCTTGGGTAACGGCAGGGGAGTAAAGACCACACTTGTAGAAGGGTCTGATCCTTTCCACTAGATGGGGGTATGAGATAACCAGATGGAAGAAAGGAGCTTTTATAGCTATAATAAAACACATTAATTCTCCACAGATTTTTTACCAAATAAAGTTTCCTGACCAATGTGTGTACAAGAAAAGTGATGTGCCTGTTAAGCCCCCCCGTAACCGCTCCCTCTTTTTTTTTTTTCTCCTCTCCCTCTCCCCCCTCCCTTTCTCCTCCTCCCTCTCGTGTTCTCTTCTCTCCATGGCATACCTAGTGTTTCCAGCTTAGGTACTAGAAAGAATTTTTTAGAAAACTGGAGACACAAGAACAAATAATTATTTAAGAATTGGTTATTTGGCAAAGATATCCATTTGGTGTTTAGTACTTTGTTTTTCCTGGTTTTGGTATGGAATGTTAATTTTAAGTCAGAAAACCTGTTAGAACCTTCTTCCTGCTAATGCTTTGTACTTTTATGTGACCAGACATAGCATCAGGGCATAACTCCAGAATGCTTGCTTGCTTTCTGATGAATGCTCATTGCTCGTGTTTCATTGATTTTTTTTTTTTTTTTCCTTCTCACTGCTCTGAAGAGTACCTACAGGACAGTATGAATTCTAGCTGCAAATCAATATACTAACTGTAAAAGTTGCTCAATGTTTGGTAGATTGGGTTTGAGTGTTCTGCTTTTTTTTTTTTTTTCTCCTTAGGTTTTTTTTTGTTTTGTTTGTTTGTTTTTTGGACAGTCATGCTATACATTATTACAAAACAGAAAGCAGAAAGATGTTATTAAGAGAGTGGAAACCAGCTGTGATTCTCATTCCTACACCACACGCCCCTTTCCAGTTCTCCACATCCCTCTCGTGGATGTCAGATTGTGAAGGGAAAGGGGCAGCATCAGCTCCCAAGTCTTATGATGAGATTCAAAAACCAGTGGGGATGAAGAGAAACATTGAATGCTTCCTCTAATGAAAAGTCGGCATTCACATGATGTTTTCTTTCTCACTCTTACTCTTATTCCTTGTGATTTGGAGTTATTTGACCTTTCCCCACGATTTCCTGAGTAGAATGCATCTCCTAGTAATTGACCTTTCATCCTTTCTGGCATGAGCACCTGAGCTCTAATGTTTTGTTAGTGATCTGTGTGATCTAGCACATGTTTAAAGGTCTCTAACACTATTTTGTAGCCGTAGTGACCTCCAGCACAATGTAAGGTTGCAGAATGCTTATTGAAATGCTCAACTCCATCTATGGCCATACTACTCTGAACGCGCCTGATGTCGTCTGAAATGTTCAACTCTATTGCCCTGCATTTCCATCATAATTCCTCTGCCCCTTTTCCTCCTCTGTCACCCTTTCCAAGTTGGTCCTTTGTCACACACCTTCTGGTCTTCACTCTTTCAAGCCATGCTTCCCCATGAGGAGAAGGTAGTTGATAAGATTTTCACATTAAGTGCTCCCTGAATCTCAAGACTTGAGGGTTTTATTGTTTTACCAGCATAGCAACACTAGATTGTTGTATCTTGCAGTCTACTTGATGTTATTATCCCATATCACAGGCAATCCAAGTACCACTATGGTTTAGTTTTGAAGACATTCAACTTTTCAAAATTTCCGACCCCTTATTTCAAATATATTTCTCTTTTGTATTTTAAATCTTGGTGAATTAAACATTCATCTTACCATTTTTTTTTCATTACCAAAATCAGTTTTATAGGTTGTGTGTCTGTGTGTGTGTGTTTGTTTTTGTTTTGAGCATATATCACTAAGCCTAAATCAACTACAAAGCTTAGTTAGATTTGCTGGAAAGAAAAGATCCCAAATTTCTCCATTTGGACTCTACTGTCTAACACCCTAGTTCCAGCTGTAGCATATCCTAACCTGGACCACTGCAAACACCACCAAACATTTGAATTACATTAAAAGTAGCCACGGTGCTGCTGTTATTAGAAACCACACCGCCAACTCAATGCACAATTAACATGTAGTCCTCAAGTATGTTTTACCCCTTATCGAGTCTCTGCATGGTAGGTTGTGTGATATTTGAAAGAGTAGATCTGTTCATGGTACTAGTTTTCTGTGATTCAATGACACATAAATGCTATTATAATGAAAGTCAAACTCTACATGATGTACCTGCATGTGTCTCATGCCTCTCCTGCTCCCAGCCTCATCAGCTTCTCAAGCCCTCACAACCAGCCTTATCTGGTATGGGACCTAAGTGAGCATCTCCTTCCTAACTTAGGGCCACCGCAAAGACTTCTCTTTCCATTCATGTCTTGGGAGCCTTTTCTTCTCCTTTCCCCAACCACAAATACACATTTGCACACCCCTTCACTTGTGGTTTATGCAGCTTTCAGGTCTAAACAAAAACATCACTTTCTTTTGGAATCCTTTCCTTAACAGGTTGAAGTAAAGCTTTTACTGCCATGGTAGTCTGTTTTTCCATTTCTTAGCACAAATGAAATTAAATTATGTCCATATGTGTCTGTGTAATCATCTCACCAGGAAGTAGATTTTAGAAGGCCAAACCAGGCAGTGGTGGCACATGGCTTTAATTCCAGCCAGAGGCAGAGGCAGGTGGAGTTCTATCAGTTCAAGACCAGCCTGGTATACAGAGTGAGTTCCAGGACAACCAGGGCTGTTACTCGGGTGGAGGATCATTGACTCATTTGTCTGATTTTGAAATTGTCATGTCAATATGTAGCCCTGGGTGGCCAGAAACAATAGCAGGCCATTTTTCTCTCATGCATAATTTATTCCCTTGCTATGATTTTTTAATTTCAGTTTCTTCTGGGATATCTTTTCCTTCTGTGCACACTACTCTTCTAGCTTTGGAGCAACTTGTTTCTTCTCAGTGTGACAGGGGAGCTCATGTGGTTAATCTGGCCATGAGCTCCATAAATTCATTGGGGTGCTTTGCTCACTGGATATGTTCAGTTACTAGAGAATCTGCATCCAAACCCCTACATTCGGCATTACTCTCCACATTTAGCACTCCTTTTTGGCTACCCACCCTGTGTCTAGCCCCACTGTTTGGCCTGGGCACGCCTAGCAACTCCATCATATACCTCTGGAATGGCACACCCTTCCCTAAGGTGATATCTTTCAGTAACTTGGTGGCTTTTCCAATATTCTTACTCTTGATGGCCTGGGCAGTTTCAAGGGTGTTCTTAAAGTGAACATGAAGATTTGACCCTCTTGATTTGTATGATGTTTAGGGTTTTGGGGGTCAAGAGAGTAGCAAACCATCTTCACAGGTCACCGCAGGCTACTCACAGGGAGAGGAGTGGAATGTGGAATCTCACTTGCTGTGATAGTTTGGGCAGCTTTATGTATATATTTATTTTGGTGAGTAAGTGAGGTGTGAGAAAAAAAAATATCACATGTGTCATCCTCAGCCTGGCAATCTTGAGCATGCACTTTTTAGTTATAACCTAATTTTTCAAAGTCTTATAAAGTAAGGGTGTGTTTTCATGTGCCTTTCTTTCTTAAGTTTATGAGTACTCATCCCTCCCCGTGGAAGAAAGCACTTGCTTTTTTATGTTGTTATAATAACACCTTTAAAGTATTTTATGAACCACAAAGGACTGCATGTGTGTAGTTATCTCTAATTAGGTGTAGTTGGTCATTTTGTGCTTTCCCTCAAATTATAGAAAAATATGCCGTAACTGCAAATGCGGGCAAGAAGAACATGATGTCCTCTTGAGCAGTGAGGAGGATCGAAAAGTGGGGAGACTCTTTGAAGACACCAAGTACACCACCCTGATTGCCAAGCTGAAGTCAGATGGGATTCCCATGTATAAACGCAATGTCATGATACTGACCAATCCAGTTGCTGCCAAGAAGAATGTCTCCATCAACACTGTTACCTATGAGTGGGCTCCCCCAGTCCAGAACCAGGCATTGGTAAGTACTGGGAGTCGGGGGAAGAGGCTTCTTGTTGTTATTGTTGTTACTAGACTGTTTATTTAGGGAAGTTTCTTTTGCAATATAGGCTAGCACCACACATCTGTTGTTGTTGTTTTCTTGAGTTCCCATTACATTGACTTTAGGTTCCTATTTCTATGTTTTAAAATATGTGTCTAGATGACTCGTAGACTTGGTTGACTATCTAATTTATCTTATTTTTTTAAGGAGTTTTTCACACAATTTTAGTAATTATGTGAAAACCAGAAAAAAAAATAAAACAATAATTGGTTGTTTTATATCAATCTGCCCAATTTTCTGGTATACTTTCAAGACTGTCTAAGATGAGAAGGAGTAAATAATAGAATTTCTTAGTTTATTTAGAACAAAAATGTTCCAATGTTATATTTCTTCTACTATAAAAGGTAAAAAAAATGTGATTTTTGCACACCTTCCATTATTATGACAACTAGATGAAGCACTGGAAGGTCAGTTAGGTCTTTACAGTAAATCTCACAAATGATGTTTGTATATGAAGAAAAAGCCACTGATCCACATGTACTCATGATGGTCTGCCCCAAATCTTCCTTATCGCCACACATCTGTTGATTCAGCACAACTAAATGGTAGTAATCTCAAATGTTCTTGAATACTGGACAGAGGGGTTGAAATCATGGAGAAAAAATGTGTCCATTATGTTCATAGAAAACTGTTTCTTTAGTGCTTTACTATCTCTACATGTTTATAGTAAAGGGATGAAAATCCCCTCTTCTTGATTCTTACTCTTGATTCTTACTTGTTTCTGGTGCATCTTATAAAAGATTGAATAACCCCATTTGTCACCGGCCTCCCCATGCCCCAGGCCCGGCAGTACATGCAGATGCTACCTAAGGAGAAGCAACCAGTGGCAGGCTCGGAGGGGGCACAGTACCGGAAGAGGCAGCTGGCAAAGCAGCTGCCTGCACACGACCAGGACCCTTCTAAGTGCCATGAGCTGTCGGCCAAAGAGGTGAAGGAGATGGAGCAGTTTGTGAAGAAGTACAAGAGTGAGGCTCTGGGTGTGGGTGATGTGAAGCTTCCCTCAGAGATGAACGCTCAAGGCGACAAGGTGCACAGTCCTGCTGGGGATAGAAACACCCCGGTAGCCGCCGCCGTTCCCAAGGACAAGTCTGAGGAGCCCAAGAAGATCCAATTTGTGAGTAGTCACACTGTTGGCTTGTGCTGTGTTTGTGTTATCATTTCCTCTCTTAGAACTTCTTTGTGTGTGTGTGTGTGAGAGAGAGAGAGAGAGAGAGAGAGAGAGAAAGAGAGAGAGAGAGAGAGATACACTCTTCTGTTTCTAAAAGGGTAGATGAGGGAAAGAGAATGAGGAAGTTTAGACGTACTTGGCGAGTTATTTGTTTGGGATGTCCATCTGAAGCCAAATTTTCTGATTACTATGAAAAATTACTTTTGAGTTTATGTGTTCACAGTAGTTGGCACTAGCTTTTGCTCTTATTGAATATAACATACCGATCTAGCATCTGTCATTAAAATTTTTTGAATGCTTTGTTTAGTTATTATGTATGTGTATGAATGATTTTTGCCTGCACGTGTGTGTGTGTGTGTGTGTGTGTGTGTGTGTGCAACATGCACACAATGCCCATGGAGACCAGAAGAGGTTGTTGGATGCCCAGAGGCTGGAGACATGGATAGCTGTGAGATACCATGTGGGTGTTGGGAATTGAACCCAAGTCCTATGGAAGAGCAGTCTAGTGCTCTTAACTGCTGAGTCATCTCTCCAGCCCCAGCCTCTATAAAGATGTTATAAACTTTATAACATATAAAAGTGTTAACTGGTTATCTTTTTCTCTAGTTTATTCCATTGACTAACATTGGCTAATGTCATCAGTGTAACTGTTGACTTTTTATTAACCCCATATTAATAAAACTTTTTTTTTTCCTGTCTCGTTTGATTCAGTTTGTGCTTTGACAATTTCACACACATATAATATATAATACATTCTGGTTGCTCCCATCCCTCTCATTTTCCCCCCATTCCTGTTAAGCCCTCGTGTCCCTTTCTTGGGTTCGTGTGTTTCTGTTTTGTGAGCCACTGAGTTTAACTAAGCCTATGGGATTGGAACTATGCATGGAGCCTAGTGGGCCCCCATTCCTGGAATCGATCAGTAACAATAGTTCAGCAAGGAGGGACATGCCCCCTGCGGGACCTTTCCCAATGCATGATTGACTGTTGAGTAACCCAGTCTTGTGCAGGCCTAGTGCAGACAGCCTCTGCTGCTGTGACTTCCTGACTACAGTGGCAGAGTCATGCTCAGAAGACATTTCACAGCCCTTCTCTCCCTGTCTTCCAGTTCTTAGAGTCTTTCTACCCCCTCTTCCAAGATTTTCCCTGAGTGCTATAAATGTCTCTTTCAAGCTGAACACTCACCATCACACATCCTCAGCTGCCCGGGCAGCCTGAGTCTCTGCATTCATCCTGATTAAGGCTGAGGGTAGCCTTTGTTTATGATGGTAAACATGAACATTTAGAAGGCAGTTTGTGGCTATATCAATACAGCTTGAACAACGGTAGTAAGTTGCTCCCTAAGACCTTCTCAGCCATGGGTTTTGATTAGGTTTCTAGTAGGAATTCTGTCTTATGGAGCAGGCCTCAAATGCAATCAGAGAGCTTATCTTTAGACAGAAATAAGGATAAATTATACTTAGGTTAATCTAGTTTTCTTGTGAGGCCATACCTAAGATTCAGAGTTGATGTATGCAGTTGTATTGACAAGGGTTTTTAAAAGCCTCTCTCAAGAGAGATTTTTGTTTTGTTTTTTATTTTTTATTTTTTTTTTTTTTTTGTAATGATGTAATGACTTGAAGGTAAAGGAGACTCATGATATAGATAAACAAAGCATCAGGTCTGAGCTGACTGAGGTGTATTTCTCAGAGATACAATTAGCACATCAACGAATACAGTTTAATCCTCAACAAAGTTTACTAACAGCTCTCGGATAATCGTTTCTGAGGGAAGTGACATAAAGTTGAGGTGAAAACTACTATTCTTTTCCCTATGAGTGACTTCCATGTGGGAAACAGTGCTGTGTCGTGCACAGGGCAAAAGAAGTCGGTTGAGATGGAAAGAAGCTGGGGAAACTCCATGGCATGGAAGAGTGTGTTCTGTCCTGTTGTATCCGTAGAAGTGGCCTCCCCTGAAGCTGTCGCTGGGTATGCTCTGAAGCGGGGTGTGCCATGCCAGTGCTCTGACGATCCTTGTTTGGGTTCTTTGTCCTAGTCCTGTTACTGCTGCAAGCAGATCATGAAGGAAGGAGACCCAGCTATCTATGCTGAAAGGGCTGGCTACGACAAACTCTGGCACCCGGCCTGTTTCATCTGTAGCACCTGTGGCGAACTCCTGGTCGACATGATTTACTTCTGGAAGAATGGGAAGCTCTACTGTGGCAGACATTACTGTGACAGCGAGAAGCCCCGTTGTGCTGGGTGCGATGAGGTATGTTCTCCAGGGCCATCCGCATGGAGCCTCATCCTTGTGCCCCACAAGGCTCAGTCATCCGGGAGACAACAGGCATTAACCAAACACTAACCATGCAGGAAACCTGGTTGTTTTTGACTCTGGGTATCCTGACAGACTATCAGAAACAAAAGTTTAATTGGTTTTGATGATAAACTCAAACGTAACGTTACCCTTTTCAATTGTTGGGCCCAAAGAAGGCATTTGCTCTTGTCGACTTAAATGCCTGTCTGAGGAACTGTGGCATAAAGAGGAAAAAAAAAATGCCTAATGGATTTTGTTTTTTTTCCTCTGGCCAGCTGATATTCAGCAATGAATATACCCAAGCTGAAAACCAGAATTGGCACCTGAAACACTTCTGCTGCTTTGATTGCGACAACATCCTGGCAGGAGAAATATATGTGATGGTCAATGACAAGCCTGTGTGCAAGCCCTGCTATGTGAAGAACCATGCTGTGGTAAGAAGCACAGGGACACAGTTGCCTCAGCCCCACACCATGACTTCAGCTTCTGCCTCTCCTTAGGTCTCCTAGAAGTGGGAAGCCAAGAGCCAGCCTTGTATGGAGAAAGCGCGTGTTTCCTCCATAGGTGATTTAAAACCAGGTGGTTCATGAGCTGTACGTAAATGCACTGACTGCCAGGACCGTAAGATGGCTTATCCAACATGTGCATGTGCCATGTAGATTATATATGATGCTTGCCAATAAATTCCCAACTTAAAAAAAATCCTTAATAGGAATTAATTTAATCTTACTACTACAGATCAGATTCCATTTAAAATGGTTTCTGGGCCTTTAGAGTTGGCTCAGCAGTTAAGACAGCTTGTTGCTCTTCCACAGGACCCAGGTTCGACTCTAAGCACCCACATGGCAGCTCACACTCGTCTGTTCCTCCAGTCCCAGGGTTCTGATGTCCTCTCTGTCCTCTTTAGACACTAGGTACCCACATGGTACACAGACATATATTTCAGGCAAAACACTAATGCACATAAAATACTAAAATGAATACATGAAAAAAATTGAAAAATGGTTTCAGTATACATTCCTAACTCACCCACTTGTTTTGCCCCCTGGAAATGATTCCATGACTGTTTCTTAAACTCTTGTGGAATGGATCTAGCACAACAAAAGTTGGCCTATATTTTTAGATTTATTGAGGACCATTCAGGTGCTTGATGTGAGAGTGTATTTTTTTTTTTTTTTATTGCATCCATCGTGTTACACAGAACTGCTGCTTCATGCTGGCCAAGAGATGGTGATGGAGATACAGGGTGAAAAGATGCCCATATATAGTCATAAGCCAGGAATATCAGAATGATAGGCTCCTACTGTTTCTCTTTTCTTAAGTTTCAAATCCTGGCAAGCTGGTGCTAAGGGAGACTCCTAGGTAAGGGAAAAGGTGGACCTATGTGTAGTTCTCAAAGTTCGGTTCTTTGACAAAATGGCGGCTTTGAGGTCTGCCCATCTTCATAGTCCTGACTCATTGCCTCGTGTGTTTTCTCTCCACTTTGCCTTGTCAGTCCACTCAGACCCTGACAGCGCCACTGCTTCAGACTTCCTTGTTTGTAAATGTAGTTAGTGCCATCACAAGCGAGCCCCTGCTTCCAATAGTCACCTTGTGTAAAAGCCATCTGTAGTGACAATGACAGATGGTCTTTCCCAAATGCAGATGTGACCCCGGGGCCTTTGCTTAATGCACCCACCCTTCTTGACTAGCCCACTGCTTGTAGTTATCTGACCCAAGTTACGCATTCCAAAGGCATGTTACTTTCTGTTTTAGTTCTTATATCCGTTTTCTCTTGCTCACTCTCACTTACTGTTTTATGAACATACCGATGTGTTTCCCCAGACTCGTTTTTTCACACCTTTTCTGCTTCTCTCTACCTCTTTCTCTCTTGATTAGCCTCTTCATGCCCCGCCCTCTTGTGTGTGCGTGTGTGTCTGTGTGGGTAGCAGCTAGAAAGTAGAGCTTACTCTTTACCTTCACTTGGGAAATACTGGTATACCTAACTTGTTTTTCTCTTCTCATCTGTTTGAGGCTAACCCTGGACTTTTCCTTCTCTTAGGAACATGTTATTAATCATGTTTATTAATATATTAAATATAGATACATGAGGGTAAGGGCTGTTTTCTCTACTCCCAACTGTTGAGCAACATCGCAGATACCCAAAATTATTTGCTTAGTCAAGGTTTAAGCAAATGAAACTGCTTTTTTCAGCTATTGAAACTCCCTCTCCATATTATTGAGTAATTAGTGAACACAGTAAATATGCCTGAAAAAGAAACAGTTTTGAAGTAGAGTCATTTAATTTTATAATACACAATTGTTTCTTTTTAGATGAGTTACTTTGTCAGTAAAGTAAACCAATGGCTTTGCCTAATATTACAACAAGGTATCTTTATCTCATCCAAACTGTAAAGATGCTGCATGCTTCATTCGTGATGTAAATCTTTGGAGATCATTTAACTCAGTGTTAATTTGTGTGGATATTTTAATTTTTTTTTTAAAAAAAAAAAGTGACAGAGAAAAGTTATTTTTAGATCTATAGAAATGTCCTCAGTCTAAACAGGAATTTCTTAGCTAAACATTAACTGGGAGATGGTGTGAGATGGCCAGATACCTAGTTTGTCTCCATGTGTTTATCAGAATCCTATGGCCATCCAGGACTTACATCTGAGAGGTTCACAGGGCCTACCTGCCAGAGAACCTATACAATAAATAGAATTAGCTACCTCACATCTTGTGTTCAAATAAAAGAAACAAAACAGATGGAAAGAAATAGCTCTTTGAGCTGTGTGAGGTTTCTGAACACAGGAAATGCACTGCCAGGCACATTGTGGTAAAGGGGGCATCACCCCCTTGAAGGCCCTGGGTGCACATGTAGCTTTGAACGTTTAAATAACGTTCCTGTTAAAATATAGACGATTGTTTGTTCTCTTTATATGCATGTTCAGTTAGAAAACTGTTACGCTCTGTGTGTGTATGCATGTGTTTGCATCATTTGTATATTTGGGTAAAACATACATAGGGCACTGAATGATGGCCTGGGAATATAGTTCAGTTAGTAGTATACACGAAGCCCTGCCTGGATTTGATCCTCAGCACTGATGGAGCCCACCCATTGTCACAGCACTTGGGCGGGGGAGGGAGTGGTGTCAGGAATTTGAGACCAGCCTGAGACCTTGTCCATAAAGCACAAGCTGGGTGGTGCAGGCGATGAGAGTAATGAAGTTCATGGCATAGGTGATAGATAAGTCGATGACTGATCTTCTGACAGAATGGACGCTAGGTAACTCGAAGATATATCGATGGCAAGAACTCATTATACTCAAATATTGTCAGTATTCTTAATTAAATTCTTAACTACTATGAAAGCGATTTTAATTTACTACTCTCTAGAAATCAGTGTCCATGTAATAGGTATGACACATCGTGTCATAGGTATGACATTACCACTTCAGAGCTTCAGTGAGTGAGGAGAAACAGTCTTATAAACTTCCTTTTAATTCTTTTTTATAAAATCCAATAAAAAGAACTGGAACCAAATGCATCGCTTTTGCATTTGCTGTCAGAACTTTCTATGTCTGTCACCCTAGGGCCATCTTCGGAGCATCTTTCACCTGTTTGACCTTTACCTGCTATTGCTTACCTTGCTTGGCATGTATAGGTCCCTGCTGACTCAAATAATTCACGAAGATGTCACTGTCACTTGTGTATTTTTTATACAGTTTTAAACTTAACATCTGAAGATCTGGGTTCAGTTTGCCCTCAGGTGCTGGTGTGGCTGACACGGTCGGTCGCTCTCTGACCCTTTTCTGCTTGCTTTATTCCCAAACAGGTGTGTCAAGGATGCCACAATGCCATCGACCCGGAAGTGCAGAGAGTGACCTACAACAACTTCAGCTGGCATGCATCCACGGAATGCTTCCTGTGCTCCTGCTGCAGCAAGTGTCTTATCGGGCAGAAGTTCATGCCTGTAGAAGGGATGGTTTTCTGTTCCGTGGAATGTAAGAAGATGATGTCCTAGGAGGAGAGCACAGAGCACGGAGCAGGATTGAGCCATAGCTGTCCACAGTGGCCTGCATTTCATGATAGAATGCAATTTGAAAAAAAAATAATAAAAGGAAAAAAATATATAGCACACCAGAAGATTTTGTTCAACATTTTTCTTTGTTTTAAACTTACGGATTTTGTCTGTTGTAATTTTAAATTACTGCTTTAAGCATACAGTTTTTTTTTTTTTTTTTTTTTTTGGTTTTTTTTGTTTTTGTTTTTTAAGTAAAGAATTGTAGCTTTCCTTTCCAACCATGAAATCTTAATCGATCGTTTTAACAGAATACCCCTAGTGCCAAATAATATATATCACTTAAAAGTTAGTGTCCTGGGAAAGATGAACAGTTTGGGCTCCTATGCTTTGATTCACATGGAAAATGTAAAGGAAATTTCACGTTGCCTGATGTGACACTCCACACTTAGCCTGTCTCATGAACTGTGATGATGCTCAGTGAGTTCCTTCTGGCAGACACCCGTGGTGGTGCATGGTGGGTGTTCCAGTGCCTAAGCCTTTGCATCTCCTTCTTGAGGCAGAGGGGACTTTTTCTTATTGCACTCCTTGTATTTACTTTACCTCTCAGTGTTCTCTTTGTCATCCAGTGACCTCCGTTTATGGTCTTGAGTATTTTACATGTATGTAGCAGAACAATATGTGCAGCACTTTGCTCTTAGAGATTTTTTTTTTGTCTAGAACATAAAACCAGACTGTTCATTTAGTTCTTTTTGAAATCCAAAGAATATGCATAGATTTTTATACCCAGGGAATTATAACTTGTATTGACATCACTTGCCAGCCGTGACCTCATTTTTTGCATGACTTTTAGTTGGAAACTCTCTTTCGCTACCTCTGAGCTTGCTGTAGACACGGACTGTCTTCTTGCCTGTACACTCCCATCATGGGGTGTTTTTAATGTTTTCCCCTTGTATGCTTTTACACGTAACTATGCACTATAAATATTAAATGGAATGCCTATTATATATGTTACTCAAAATAAAGTCTCTTTCAGTTGAATCATTGTCTTTTTCCAGATCCTTTTTGCAGTTATGTATCTAATACAGCAGGGGGCGATGTCTCCAAGAGTAAAAATAAACCTTGACAAAAATAAAGGACAGGACAGACAGGAGTTCCTCTGTGCAGAGAAAGTGAGTGTCAGAAAGACTTAAATCAGGACTTGTTTGCAATCATAATCCTTGGGTCATACAGGAGTTTTGTTTTGTTTTTGTTTTTCTAAAGGTGTCCTTATTTTAGTTAACTTTAAAAAGAGAATCAAGTACTGTATTTCTAGGTGTTTTAAGAGGACATTTACTTTTGTTTTGTTTTTGTTTTTTGTTTTTATTTTATTTTATTTATTTATTTATTTTTGATGAGTCTTACTAGGTAACCCCACTAGCCAGCCTACATTGGCCCTTTCAAATGTGGCTATAAACTTCCGTCGCTGGCCTTCCCTCTTTCTTTCTGTGCCCATATCGCTCCCGCCAACATGGTGAATGTTACTAAGACCTGCCGGATGTTCTGCAAGAAATGTGGCAAGCACCAGCCCCATAAAGTGACGCAGTACAAGAAGGGCAAGGACTCTTTGTATGCCCAGGGAAAGCGGCGTTATGACAGGAAACAGAGTGGATATGGTGGGCAGACTAAGCCCATTTTCCGAAAAAAAGGCTAAAACTACAAAGAAGATTGTGCTGAGGCTTGAGTGTGTTGAGCCTAACTGCAGATCTAAGCAGATGCTGGCTATTAAGAGATGCAAGCATTTTGAACTGGGAGGTGATAAGAAGAGAAAGGGCCAAGTGATCCAGTTCTAAGCTGATCTTGTTATGAAGACAATAAAAGAAACTCACCTCATTTGATTGTGGTTGGTCTTTTGGGAAGGAATAAACTGAAACTATCGAAACATCAAAAAAAAAAAATTTCAAATGTGCTTCCTTATGATTGGCTATAAATATGATCTTATAACATTTCCTGGGGATTTTTCTAGATTCTAGATTAATAACTGTGTGTGTGTGTGTGTTTCTTCAGTCTGAAACTGATTTTGTTTTAAGATTAGGGTCCCATATATCTTGGGATGACCTCAAAATCACTATGTAGCCAAAGATGACCTTGAACGTCTAATCTTTCGCCTCTTTCTCCAAGTACTAGGATTATATAGCAGTATACCTTGAACCTGATTTCTACTGTACTGTTGCCCAAACTCAGTTTTGTGCATGCTGAGCATACACATTCTGCCTCCCTCCCCAACCTCCCCAGGTCAGAAATATTTCTGTCTTAGTAGTTTAAATTTTCCTGACACATACTCAAGACAGTTGGTTTGGGATTTTTGTTAGTGGTTGTTTTGTTTTCAGATGCTGTTTTCCTGTTGAATGCTGCCGCTTTATGTGTTATGCACACATACTTAGTATTTACAGCAATACTTAACAGGTACACTGTATTCCCTCTGCATTGTGCCCACTCTAGCAATGCAAGGTACCATTTGGGGTTCGAACACATAGAACAATGTTGAAAGGAGTAATCTTAAATCCTACATTCAGTATCCTGTAACTACACTTACCTTTGCCTTGCTTTGTCTCAAATAGTAACACACTTTCCAGTCAATTTTGTCCTCAACATTTAGTACTTTTCCTAGACATCTGCAGAATGAGGATAATTTGAATGGAACCCCTTCATACACCCTAGCAGACTCTTCCCAAATCTGCCCCGCTGACACTATGCCTCCAGCTAAGATTAAGGCTGGCACTAAGCATGTCATTCCCTAAGAGAATGACACCCGTATCTTTCATGGAACAAATGAGTGGAGGTGATATAGATCCATTAGGTGTGGCTCTCCCCTGAATAGTTGTAATTTGCCCTTGCAATACAAGGTCATGGACTCCTTGGCTAAGAGGTTCTCAAGGTGGCTGGAAGTTCTTGTCAGTTTAGCTCTGTTGCTATGGAACACCATGGCCAAAAGCAACTTCTGTGAGTCATTTGGTTTATAGGTTAAAATCCCTTATTTAGGGAATTGAACCAGACTTTGGAGGAATGATTCCTAGTGGCTTTGTCCCTTTGGCTTGCTCAATAAGCTCAGCCATGCTTGGCTAGGAATTACACAGCCCACAGTGGGCTGGGTCCCACTAGATCGATTAGCAAATAAGAAAATGTCTCACCCACAAAGAAAAAAGAAAAATAGGAATGATAAAATGTCTCTGAGACATGCCCACCATAAAGGTGATTTTTCAATTGTTCCTTCTTCCTAGGTGATTATAAGAAATAGCCATTCTTTATCCTATAAGAAAATAAGGTGATAATTCTATGGAATTATTTTTCCTCCAGTACTAAGGATATAGCTCCCTTCCCATAGCATAGTCATTTTCTCTGAATAGAAACATTCCTTCAGGAAGGAGGGAAAGACCCTTATGTACAAGAAATGAACACATTTCACAAGTCAGGGCCTCTGCCCAATGTCTATAACAGTGCTTCTCAATCTGTGGGTCACAACCCTGAAAGGACCTATATCTGGTATCAGCATAAGACACCCCAGATCAAGTTCTCTGTGCAAAAGAGATGTATTTGCCCTGGAGGGACAAAGGGAAGGAAATCAGAGACAAAGATAGAGGGTCCTTGGGGAAAGGAACAAGAGAAAAAGGGGGAGGGACAAAGGACTGCCTCTATATACAGAGGAGACAAACATGGCCCATAGGCAAATGGCACTTTGTAAAGGTCAAAGGGGAAAGCCCATGTTAGGAAAAGTGGGTTTCTTTTGATTGGACATGTTCATTAGGGTAGCCACGAGGAGACTTTTGATTGCTGGACTTCAGTGCTTTGATAGCTGGACCTTGGTAGTCGGCCTCAGTGGAGGAAGTGGTCAAATAAGAGATTAAATCTTAGTGGCCAGCTTTAGGAATGTAATCTAAGAGTTTTTAACAAGGACAAGTGAATGGGGGGGGGGGAGGCAAGGCCTACCAGGGCCAGGTTTGCCATGCGTGGGCCTACTAGAGCCCTTCAACCCCTTGGGGTGTTGACAGACCTTTCACAGGGGGGTCACGTAAGATCTCTGTCAGAGCAATAGAACATTAATAACAGTTACCGTGCTACAAATGCCAACACTAAGCCCTTTCCTAGAAGTTGAAAAAATAGTTTTATCTGAATTTATGTATTACTCTTCCCAAATGTGAACAACATAGAATATTTTTTATTCTAATTACCTGTTTTTTGGTAAAATAATATATTTTTTTCATTAGAACGTCATGTCAGTTCATTTCTCAGACACAGAACTCAGATTGTTTTATTTCTGATATGGCATGAATTTATCAACAACATTTAACAGTAGCAGAATCCTTACTAGAAGACAGGATAGAATCATTGCTTAGGGCAAGACCAGAGATGTCCTTATTCTCCACAGAAGCCATTATCTTGGTTACTAAAGGACATGACAGTGACCTTTGTTTGCTTTGTTTGCTTTGTTGCTAAACAGCAGTGGGAATTCAAGAGCAGAGGGTTCAATGAGGAAAGAGAAGAGAGAAACTTCTTGAGTCCAGGAAATTCAAAAGAAGATGCTGAGACAGTGTCAGCATCAGTTTCTGAAGGATGTTCAAGTGACCCACATAGCACCCTCCCTAGAGGCTCAGACCACCCAAAAGTGGTCAAGCATGAATTCCTTCATGGAGTCCACACATAAATATAACCTTGGATACAATTATGATTTGGAGAAATTGATGGAATTTTGTTATTCAGTAACACTTAAGATATCCAAGTTTCTCTAGTGTCGTGTTGGCCTTCACATTTGTTACGTGTCATTTTTATCTTTTTCTTTTTTAATACTAGAGATTGTCAAAAAACAAAAACAAGAACAAAAACAAAAAAAAAAAAAAACCTACACTAGAGATTGTCTTTTCTTTAATAAGCACTAACTGAACCACAGTGACTGAAGTCTCTAAGCATATATTTCCAAATTGACTCAAGTGTTTCAAGATGAATTTCACCAAAGGCAAGAGGTTCAGTGTTGAGTCATTCTTAAGCAATTTGTGACACGTAGTGTTTGAGCTCTTCCAACTTCACCATGGTTACCAAAGAGACACCACCACCCAAGAATAGTTTTAAGCCCTTGTTTCAAAATGCTCTGGCATATCTGAACTTGTCTTCTGAGTTTGTCCTTAATTCCTTAGAAAACTTATGGCTGTCCCTGATTAAAAAAAAAACAAAAACAAAAACAAAAACAAAACAAGTCACTTGGTAGCCATTTTTTTTTTAATCTGCTACCCTCTTGTACTGAGCACTGCTGACCCAAGTGCTCAATGTTAACTCTTGCCTTTACTGAATGTCACATATATGAAACAGTCCCATTTCCCTGGGTAGGCATTTTAGCACAAACCTGACAGGCATTCTGGTTTGATTAATAATCTTTTTTTTCATATGTTTACCAGATGCTTAAATACCTGTGGCTAATTGTTCTGTCCTTTCATGAGGAGCATGTCATTGTAGCTTTTATTTAATCTAATAGTATATTTTGAAACAATCAAAACAAAATACCATTAACCTTTATACTTGTTTTAAATGGCATTTTAAATGACATTTATAAAGGCTGCTATTGATTTTTCCTCAATGCTGCATTTCCCTAGGATATCTTGACCTTCACCAAAAACAAAAGCACTTTGAACCCAGTTACCGTTGCTAGAGTCAGCCACTATTGCATGTAGACATGCTGGTGTCAATTCTTCATAAATACCATCTGACTGAGAACTGGTAGTTCAAAAGAAATCTGGGTTTAGGAGTCGAAATAGATATCTGGCCAAAACCCATTGACTCTCCACTCTCCTCTCCAGTTACAGCTGAATTGGATGAAGGGCATGAATATTGGATTTTAGGAAGACAAAAAAAAAAAAAAAAAAGGCACAAGTGTTGCTTGAATACCCATGAGTATGTTGTGGTCATCACACAATGATAACAACAACAACTAATGTTATCAAAGAATATGAAGGAATGTTCTGGAACACTTACATGCTAAGAACCATTTCTCTCTATTATGTGGGGTTTTTATC